GACTCCAACAGACAGCTTATTGAGACCCGGGAGCGCACTACTCATCTTAGGTCCCCGATTTCTGCACTGCGCGTGCACAGTGCCTGGGTGGCAATTGGCTATCGGGCTGCTTGGCCTGATCTGCGAGCAGCTGATTGGGACAGGCTGAGACTGGGGGTTTTCCTGGGAGTGTTGGGCCATGAGCTGTGTGCCTGAGTGATTCGGCCAGGGCTTTCCTGGTGAGTTTGTGCGGGCTGGTTGCCAAGGCAGGAGTGCATGCTGCTCTAACTTGGTGGGGGCCACTGACCACATCCTGTGGTGTGTTGGGGGTCTGCCCCGCCCACCTACAGGTGTTGCCAGGTGTTGCCAGGGGCACCCTGAGCCCTTGGTGCCTGGCCCCTACCTCTCAGGCCACAGAGGGTTTTTGCAGCAGCAGACAGCCTGCAACAACCTGTGAGGATTTTTGGTGGTGAGCACGGTTCCAGAGCACACAGCAGCTAATTGCGGGAAGCTCACTTCAAGTCTAGGCGGAGGTTGGCGCATGACGCACTGAGCCCTTCCCCCCAACAGCTGGTGCTGAGTCGCCCAGAGTCTCTCTATTGCTGAGCAAGTGGTCTGCAGATTAAAGGGGGTGGAGAAACCCCCCCCTTTTTTCTTTTTCCTTTTTTTCTCTTTTTTCTTTTTCTTTCTTTTTTTTTTTTCTAGGTGATCTATCTAATACATCGAAGCAATCACAGAGGGACAGCCAAAATGAAGAAACAAAGAAACATGTCCCAAGTTAAAGATCAGAAGAAACCTCTAGAAATGGAACTAAATGAAACAGAGGTATCCAACCTTTCAGAGACAGAGTTTAGAACACTGATGCTAAGAATGTTTAAGGAACTTAGGGAAGACATAAAGAAGGATACAGAAATCATAAAAAACAACCAGTTAGAACTAAAGAATACAAAAACTGAAATAAAAAACACACTCGAAGGAATCACCAGTAGATCAGATGAAGCAGAGGATCGGATCAGCGATTTAGAAGACAAAATAGCAGAAATCACCCAGTTGGAACAACAAAAAGAAAAAAGAATAAAAAATAATGAACTAGTTTAAGAGACCTGTGGAACAACATCAAGCACAACAACATT